TAATCACTAAAACAACATAATTCTGCATATTTGATTGAATACTTTAAACTTTAAAATAAAAACAACATACATTATAATACAATAGTTTCCTACAGACGTATAGTTTTGAATCTTTTTTCACGAGACCCATTGGTGTAAAAAGGAAAATATAATTTATGATTCAATGAGGAACATTTTTAATCAAAAAATAATTACTAATTGGTAGTTAAAATTTGTATTTTTAAAATAATACTTTAATCCAATTAACATATATAATATTTTATCTTCTTTTTTAATGACAAACTAATCTACTTATAAATTATCACATATGTCTCCAACAAAACTTGAACTCGTGATCTCTCAATTGCGAGAATCATTCTTACCGTAAGACTAAAGACCCTTTGTTAATATTTCAATCTTTTAAAGAAAATAATGACTTGTATATAGAATTTTGTTAAAGTTAATATAAAAAGATCAATTAAAATAAAACATATAACCAAAATCTTAAACAACTTTGTTAATGATAAGTCTTTAATAAAATATAATATAATTTTATATATAGTTTGTCTTTTTATTAAAATATATGAATATGTTTTCTATAAATTTATTATGGAGTTATGACATTTAATTTTATAATATTGAAATACCTAACTTGATTTTACACGTTTATGTGAATAATATAAATACCTAATTATCAATATTATATTATGTTATATTGGAACGTTTTTTGCGATTATATAAAAGGATAATGATTTAAAAGGGTAATATATTTTTTTATTTATATATATTTGGTCACTGAGTTTTTTTGTTTATATTTGACCATTTAACTTGTTTTTTTTCCATATTTAGTCCTTATAACCGGCTACTCTAGGTTAAGCCGAAAAATAACTTAACTGCAAGATAATATATTTTCCAGTTTGTACATTTTTAATCCTTAATGTTTTTGTACCCATTTATCATTTTCTTCATATTTTGCTCACGACATCCTATATAGGACAATCATTAATGAGGTGATCTCATACGTGACTCGTTATTCACTTATATTAATAACCTAATTCACAAATCGGTCAAATAATATTAGTGCCCTGGTTTTCTCCAAACAAAAGATGACTTCGTTTTCGGTTTCATCTATCTCCATAACAGACAACAAGACTTTTTGTGATTATTTCCTCATAACTCGAATTTGCACTTTAAAAAAAAAAAGAAATAAGGAAGACGCTAAAAGAATTTGCACTTCCAAGACAAAAGAACACACTGGAAAGAAATTCATCTATCTCCATTGTAGATAATGAGATTCTTCGTGAATGCTTCCTCCCAACTCGAATTTGCACTTCCAAGACAAAAAATCTCATTGTCTACTATAGAGATTGATGAAACCGGAGACGAAGACATCTTCTACTTGTAGAAAACTAGGTCACCAACCTTATTTGACCGATTTGTGAATTAGGTTACTGATATAAATGAAGGACGAACCACGTATGAGAACATATCATTAATGATTGTCCCATATAGGATATCGTAAGCAAAATCTGAAGAAAACCGGTCATAAGGACTAAATATGTACAGAAAAATTAAGGACTAAATGTGTACAAATTATAAAATATATTACCCTAGTAAGTCATTTTTTTCAGATTAAACTGGATTAACCGGTTATAAGGACTGAACGTGGACAAAAAAACAAGTTAAATGCTCAAATATAGACAAACAAACTCGTAACTAAATGTGTACAAATCAAAAAATATGTTACCCTTTTAAACCATTATCCCTAATAAAAATACAATATGATATTTTCATCATATTAAATTTTACATTATAAATTATTGTTGCATTTTGTTTTAAACAAATTTATATATATATATATATATATATATATATATATATATATATATATATATATATATATATATATATATATATTAAAAAGGGACCAAAGTAAGGAATAGTGAACATCAGGTTTTTTTTTTCACAGATGGCCCTCCGTTTTTACCCGTGTTTCCTCTTTTGGAATGGAATGTATTTTTGGCGTTATTTGACATTTTGTTCAGACTTTGTTATGTTTACTCTTCTGCTTTCATCGTTAGGAACAGTACCTAACCAGGGTACTGTTCCTCCGGTTACTCTCCTCTATACCATGGTTTCCGCTTCCGGATCCTTCCCACCGCCTCTCTTATCACCGTTATTATTCCATTACGTTTTCTTTTTCTTCCCGATCCTTCCACTGTCTTTCCTTTTATCTCCCACCGCTTCTTCATCTCAATCCTTCCACCCTCTGTGAGGGCTTCTCTTTAGAACCGATTGAACACCGCCATCACCACCATCTGCTTCGGTTCGTTACATTTTCCTCTTCCATGCTTTCTCATCTGGTCACCATCGCCTCCCCATCCTATTTACCTTACACCGCTTAAAAAACGGCTGCTTACAACAACCCTAATGGAGCTGTCGGTCGACTGTTTTTTTTCTCATGATTTCTACAACGAAGCAACAACACTTGACTTCATATCTGCACCACTTACTTCCTCCTCCACTTTCTCTCTTCAATATCGGCGCCAGTGGAAGAACTCGCTTGAAAGCTTTGCCTTTTCGCTTCTCCGCTGCTCTGTGCTTTGCGGACGCACCACCACCGACAACATCCTGGCCGTTCCCCACCATCTTCTTTCCGTCTACTTTGTCTTTCTTTGGAGACAATATCGGCATTCACACCTGCGTTCTGACACCGACAACAAACAAACCGTCACCGCCTACTACTGCTTTCTCTGCTTGAGACTGTCACGATGTCGAAACACATGGATATGATTCCCGGAGACTCGCACCTCAGGCGGAAAAAATATGGGGGAAATTGGTTGTGAACGATCAGTTGAATACCTTCATCCAACCCATTCACGTTTAAAGTTTTTAAAAGCTCTTTTCTGTTCAAATTGTTGAACGCACGAATTTGCTTTGATTATAGGTATTTCTATTCAAATTTGAGTTTCCAGTAATCAATCAAGTATTTTCTTTTATAAATTTTATTTTATATCGATTGTTTCACATGTTTCTAATGCTGATTTTCCCCAAATCTCTTTCATCCGATGTTTTTCTCTTCGATTCTGAAAATGCAATTCAGTTTCAGGTTTCAATACTCGGTAAGCTGCTCCTAATTCCGGTTACTGATTCTGAATTATTAAATGTTTGAAGGTGAAACATCCAGTGGTGTCTGTTCAGGGACCATTCAGTGACTGAGCTATCAGATGCCAGGTGATGTGAAATTTAGAAGTTATTTATGTTTTTTTTAGTTATTGGGGTTGTTTTGGTGGAATTGTACATTGATCGATAGATGAGGATTACGGTTCTGGGTGAACAATACAATTTGATGCCAACATTTCTTCATCCACATGGGAAAAGCACAACCGTAGCTTCAATTAGTATGTCAAATCTACGATGATTGTTACTGATTTTGAAATCTCTATGCGATTGGTCGTTGGGTCGTTGTCTTGCACCCGTACCGGTGAAGAAGACTTCGAAAGCTTCAACGTTTCCGTACCACCACAGTCACTGGTCAGCTTGCTGAGTGGATTTCTTCTGCACCTTTTCTTGCAGGTTATGCTTCTAAGGTTGATCGATTGTTACAGTGTCACCCGCTTCACGAGTGAAACGTGGATCCCAGTTTCTATGATTCCTTTTAATTTGTTTCTAATTTTTATTTTTTTGGTTTTGTTTTCCAGGATGATAAAGATTACAAATACCAGTGGGAAATCCTCGCCCCTACCAAAGAAGGTCAAATAAACCCTAATGTTTCTACGGTTCCATTGTATTTGTTTGTAATTTTGATTGCTTTGGTTTTGTTTTCCAGATTTTGATTGCAGTTGTTCACGATCAAAAAGGTACAAATGTACAATTAATTTCTTTAATACCACCTGAAAACATTGATGCTCTATATATGGTTCTAATAAGGTTTTTTTTCTTATTTACCCAATATATTTTCTTTACTATTATCAGAATTCATACACAACACTATAATGTTTTGCAGGTACAATGTTGTTGTAAAATGTGCTACATTACACCTGATTATGTTGGAAAAATACCCGCTTATGTTTCTATGTTTCTCTTTTTACACTATAGCTACAAAGTTTAGAATCTGGATATATTAAGAAAATGTTATAGATATATTACCAATTTAGCAAGACACAGTTGGGGCGAGGAAGTAGATTATATAGTTACAACAACTGCATTTCCCCCACCCCACACATACATGCAAATAAAGGAAAAGATCGAGATCAGATCCATAGGGGAAAAGGGCAATTATGTCTTTTATTGGAACTCAAGAAAAATGTAAGGCCTGTGGGAAGACTGTTTACCCAGTGGAGCTTTTGCCTGCTGATGGTATTGATTATCACAAATCTTGCTTCAAGTGTAGCCATTCCAAAGGTACCCTTAAGGTATGATGATGATAATAATGAATTTTCTTTTATGATGTTTATGTCATATTATTTATTTTAATTGTATGATAATTAGTTTTGGAATTAATTTAAATTGTGTTGATCTTCATTAATGGCACATGCGGATCTAGGATATTTATTTAGGGGACATTATTCTAATTAACATATGGTTGCCTATTATAAATTTAAATAATGAAATGGACACACATATATAGTTTAGTTTACTGATAATCAAGAATGATTGACTTTCAGAACAGTTGTAGCTGGCTTTTCTTTTCAAACTTATTCTAAAATCTATTTATTATATGAGACTATAAATTTGTAATAGGAAAAAACAAAAATGGTCATTTGTTTATGGTTGTCTTTCGCATGTAAGCATGTAATTTGTTTGCTTTTTGTTACTTGGCTCTTAAGTCTGTTACTATTTATAAATTTTATTCAGAGTGGAGGTATCCCTGCACTTATATGTTTTTTTGTTACTTGGCTCCTCCATGGTATCTGTTTTTTTATTACATTTATGGAATACTCATTATACGTTTGTTGAAATCTTTATTATAGGTCCGACGAAAAATTAGAAGGTTGCTTATGAGAATATATGTGTCTCTACAAGTGTGTGGTGCAAAAAAAGGAAGATGGTGAACAATGAAATAGGAAAGCGTAAAAAAAGCTTTATTTGTTAACTTTGACTTATATGTTATACAGTACCACGTTGGATTTAACTGTATAATATATAATAATAATTAAAAAAAACTATAAACCATTGCATATATAATCCTTTTTCTAATAAAAAAAATTAGGGTTCAACAAAACGATTAAACTCACATGTACATTCGATATTTCTAACTATAAGACTCATGTTATACTTTCTTAAAAATTAACTAGGCAAATGTAATCTATCATGGTATATTTTGTTTTAAATATGTCAAATAAATAAAATAAAATACATAGGTCAGAAACAGAGACCTCGATCCATTCATCAAATTGCTTTTATGATTCAGTGCAAGACCTGCACTGCACCTCTAGCTCGCCTCGCTATACTTTTTCAGGTTTTCTTTTATATCCTTCTTAATTTGTGTATTTCATACACCTTAATCAATGACCTGAGACTTATTGTTGATTGATTTAGGAAATATATTGGAAATCGAAAATTAATCAGAGCTCATGTATCTCAAACTGTAATTTCTTGATTCTACAGGTGCAAGGTATGCATTCTGATGCTTCTACCTTAAGAAGAGCCAGTATATGGCGTTAAGCAACACATATAGTCAATGAAGAAGGATTTTGTGCATTCTGGAAAGGGAACTTAGTGACAGTTGCTCATCGTCTACCTTACTCCTCCATCGGTTTCAATGCATTTGAACGCTACAAGAATGTTGGTACAAACGTTCTTTGCTGAAATTCTATAGTCAAATGTACATTTTAATTTGATTTTATTATGTTTTGTTTGTTTTCCGATTCTACAGCTACTACAAATGTTCATGGGAGTTGAGAGCTATGGAACAAATATAAGTGCAAACTTGTGTATACGGCTTGCAGGTGGTGGTTTAGCTGGTATAACTGCTGCTTCTGTTACATACCCTTTGGATCTTGTAAGAACACGCTTTTCAGCACAGGTAGGATTTTGATAAATCATAAGCATATTATACTGTATTTATATTGGAATTATCCTTTTTCATGTCCTAATTCCTCAATGAAACTAATCCACTGCACAACCTTTAATGATTTTAGACTTTAGCTTTGTTGTAAAGATACCCGAAACCCAATGGGAAATTGTGTATTCCATTTTTTTTAAATTTAAGTTGTTTTTAATTAACAAAAAAATCAATAAATGACCAATTTGGTCTTGGCCAGTTTTATATATGTTAAGCCAATTATTTTTATAATTGACCAATTTGGTCTTGGCCATCTACACACAGGCAGGTATGCAAAAAATAGCAACATACTTTTATTTAGATTTTAACCATGGGTGGACCAACTTGGGATATTGGAAAAAGCATTATGAGAAAGTGGATGTTTTTAGCTTTTTTATAAAATAAAAAGTTTTTCTTAACTCTTCTAGATTTGCAGGCAGGAAGTCTGTAACAGATTTCTTTTTATTTATTTACTTTTTTTAACAGAGATTTCCAATAACAGTTGCAGTAGGAGGGACTAATTTCTGAAATCGAACTGACATTATTTGTTCTATTCCTTGATTTCATTGATTTTATATGTAGTTTTCACTTTTTGCCTGTTTATTTCAAAGTTGGACAATCTGATTACATATTACATAGTTTTATAGCTTTTGACCATTTTACAATATTGCAGTTATATACGAAGTGATAAAAATAAAAATATATTTGTTAATTTATGTTAAGTTAAGTCCATAGGGTATCATACTACCCTCACAACATTATTACAATGTAATGTTATCGTCGGATCATTTTTCCACTCACCCTACAAAACTAGTGGGTGTCATACCACACATTACCACACTTTTTTTAATTGAGTGTAATTTGATAAAAATATAATTGTATAAAACTAATAAAAGGAAACTACTTCATTACTTCAATTAAAACGATTACAATGACAAAACGATAATTTAAGTAAAACGACTACATAGATAAAATGACGATTAAACTAAAACGACTACAAAATAAGACTAATTATAATATACTTTTTCATAATTTCCGATCTAGCCCGACGGCTCCAATGGTCGAACATTTGCACGCAATTTACTATGAGCAGTAAATTAAGAATTGTTTGGATTTATTTTTTTTAAATGGTTGACAAGCTTTAGAATTGAGAATGTTGTATGTGGTTTATTTGGTATGGGTTGTATTATATTTGAATTATTAAAAAAATAGCCATTTGCCAATGGTCAAATATGAGCAACACACAAAAATGGTGTGGTAAGGGCTTTTGTGTATATACCGCAGTGACAATTGGGGGGGGGGGGGGTGTTGTACTTTTCACAGCACACTGCGGTGCCTCCTCAGCAACCGCAGTGTGCGGTTAGGTGTATACCGACCAGCCTAATGGCTAAGCTTACAAATTAGACAATTCGAAAATAAAAACCATAGAAAAGAGATTTTTCAAACATGATTAAAAGAGTATAAAGTTTGAAACACAGTCATGATTGATTTTATTTATTGAAATTTAAATAATATACATACACATGTTGTTTGTCATAGAGTGCTTTAGAAACTTTGTGGCGTTTTCCAACATATTGTTCTCTAAACACCTATTTTTTTAATTGTTGTGAGTTAATTAATTTATTAATTTAAAAAATCAAATATTTAATGTTTTATTGATAAAACTAAAATGTACAACCATAATTTTTTATTAATCTAAAGAAAGTAAAGGAAAA